AGGATGGTCATTAAGGATTTTAGTGATATAAATCTTGATTTTGGGATATATTGCTTGAATGCATAACAGGGTTGTTTAGACATTTCTTATTTTAAAGGAATATTGCAAGTTGATAAAGTATATCGAACCATTACAGCTCCATACCACCCCATAAACAAATATGTATTTATTATATTTATATCCCAGCGTTTTTCCTTCCAAGGAACTCAAGGCAGCTTACATAATTCCTCTCAAACTTACCCTCACAGCAACAACCTTGTGAAGTAGGTTGAGCTGGAAGTTATAAATGTTCCTTATATCTGCATCTTTGATCTGCTAGCACCAGTGCACTGTGTATTAATATGGAGGACAGCTTTCCATAACTTCCAAATAATACTGATTACTGCAATGCAGGAAAATAAATACTTATATTTTGGGTTATGAGGTTAGTGTGGTTTCTTAAAGTTCATATAATAATTCTGAAATTCTGCCTTTTACAGCCTTTGGTAAATGCACTGGTACTTAATATGCCTCAATAAATAAACTTTTAATTATTGTGCAGTGAACAGATCCACAGCTAGGATAGCTATCTGAAACCAATGGGCTAACTAGTAATTATGCCAAATAAATAGTTTTGTTGCATGTGATCATTTATACTAGTGGACTGAATATACTGGAAAACCTTAATTGCTTTTCAAGATCAGTTTGAAGAGAAGTTTGTATTTTACACTAATTTTTTGTTTATAAACGAGCTATGTTCTCTGTTTCACATTAGAACATTTTCACATAACATAACTTTGGTCTTCAAATCACTATTTGCTTGCTAATTAGTGTTTCCCCACTAACTTACTTTCTAGTGAGCACAGCCTAACTATGTTAAAATCAGTGGGATTGCTATCATTTATGCTATGGAGTGCGTGTTATGCTGAGTGATTGCCTGCAATTATGTGCATTACCAGATGTTCAGCAGGCCCTCTGAAATCAGTTGCCCTGGTCCCCTGCTTGCAAAAGCAAGGTGACCGTAGGCATTCAGTGCATTCCCACAGCATAAGCGGCCGAGGGGAAATGGGCACCCTGCACTGCTTCTTGCATCCTGCCTTACAGGTGAGCGGACTTCCCCGAGGCTTCCGGGGCATGAAGACAAGGGCCTCATTTGCACCACTTACAAGCCCTCTCATGGTGCTCCCCGAACACAGTCGGCCTTCCCCTCCCTTCCCCCTTGAACCCTCTCCTTCCCCCTAGATTCTCTCTCCTTCCCCCATATGATAGCTGCCCCTTTTAGCTTACTGCCATGTTTTGTTTTTAGTTTTTCAGAGCCTCAAAAAGTACAGTCGTGTTCATAATTTTGTACTTTTTTTGATCCTCCTCTCGCAAGTGTGCAGGAGCGTTTGATATGAGAAGCCTGGCCAGGGACCAATTCTCTGGCTTTTAGCTGAAAAGCACCAGCAGAGTGAAAGTGGTAAAAGTCTGTGCATGGGGGGATGTATCGCCTTTGCCACCGTGTTGAACTGACCATTGTCAGTGTCCCCAACCTCTTCAACATTTCTCTGGGTCTTCAGCTATTCCAGAAAGATGATATAATTCTTCATTTTGTCTGTGGGTCCTTTTTCAGAGCGATTCCTATTGAGAGAATTTATTGACAGGTCTAAAAGATATGCAGCGTATTTTCTGAGAAGTAATGCAGGGGAATTTTGCATGAGTTTAAGGGCTAGGTAATGAATGAGGAAGAAATCTGTGTACTTTCAATAATGGAGCGGTAATGCAGGTTTGCATATTTTTCCTCCATGTACTACCAAATTTCCCTTCCTTAAATTTAAGCAAAAAAAAAAAAAAATCCCCTCTATTTCCCAGCCATTAGATTTGTATATTTTGCCAGTCCAAAATTAAAAAGTACACATATTCTCAATAGTTTTATTTTACTATTGTAAGAAGAGCTTCATAGGTGACAGAACAGGATGGAGCGAATGGGGCTCCAGCAGCAGCAGTACCTTCATCCCACTTCCATAGGGCCCCATCCACTGTGTCTTACTCAGTTATCTTCTGGGGAGGGAGGGGGGCAGATAAAACTTCAGCAGTAGTTTCTCCAGAAATGAGCTATGAAAAGCGAGAGGGGGAGTTTGCTCCCCTCTTTCTGAAATTGCTGGAGACTTGAGGAAGTGTTGGAAAGGTGGAAGAGCCTGCAAACTATCAACACTAATGAAAAGCCTTCCTCCCCTCACCCATTTCTGATGCAGCTTCTTTTGCTACTTTTCCTATTTTACTGGTGTTTATCCATTGAGAGTAAAGCAATCAGACCATGGTAACTGTGCATACATTTGCTTATACGCGGTCTTGTATTGTGAATTTCCATACGTGTTACCTGCTATACTTCACTATAGGCTTGTCAGCAGAAAAATACAAGGAAATTGGCCAGGAAAAAAATTACTATATCAGATAGCGACTTGGAAAAGAGCAATGAAATAATGATATTAATAAAAAAACAACAAGCACAGATGCACTCTTTTCTGGGCCCATTTTTTTTGAAGGGTGGTGAACTAGTGATGGTCTTTTCAAAGTGTTGCTTGGGCATTGGTGGAAAACCTGTTTTGGCAAAGGGCAGATTGGGAAGAGTGACAGTGAGTTTGCTAAATGGTCTACCAACCCATCCTCACAACCCATCATATTTCCTGGATTTGGACAATGCAACAATCTGACATGGGTTGAACAACCCCTAGAACAAATCATGGGTTGTCTTGGCAGCTTGTTCCTGCAAAATGAGCCATCCTACAGGAAGTGGTCTGGGTTCCAAATGCACAATCTCCCATGGCTAGTTCACCCATAATGGGTTGTCATGTTGTCTGAACTGGCTTTTAGTCCCTTAGCATTGCACAAACATTGTCTTCACAAATCAGCTGAGAATGTGGATTAATTCCCCCTCACCCCGCCCCAGCCCTACTCGTACACGCAGACTTTTTGTGTTCATAGTAAAGCTGGTCTACTGGTTAGAGACTAAGCTATGAATCAGGCAGCTTAATTTAAGAAATGTCTAAGAGTCTGCTGGCAATTTCTTAGCAATCTGAAACCTTCAGTAACTTAACTCACTCTAATGGAAAAATAGCATGCTAGATTTGTAAAAAAAGGATGTCTTTGTGCAGTACTGAACAGTGGACGAAGGTATAATAGTTAGCCACATCTTTGCCAGCGTTTTATATACAGTTTAGCATACAGTATATAGTTTAACATGTTTAGGCTAAGTGACAGCATGGATTAGCAAAGAAAACCTATGTGAATCTTGTCAACAAACCCCACCCTAAATAATCCTAATTCAAATGAGCACAACTGCATTAAAATATATTTACAAATTAATCCTGTTGCTCTATTAATTTATTGTGTAATTACTGCAATTCTTCCCACCTTGTTTTCAGTATTTCTTAATCATTAAGCTGGAAGCCTGACAGCGGTGCCAGCCCTGGCATGATTCTCTTTGACTAAAACCTTGTAAATTAACACAATTAGCACAGCATCATGCTGCTAATTAACTTCCTGTGTCTGGTACAGTGGATGTGCAAACAAGGACGAGGGAATCAGGAGGGAATAAACATGCCATTCTGTTACCAAACTGTCTGCTGTGTTAGGTCTAGCTCACCAGGGCTAAGCTGGTCGTGTCAAGATGCTGGAGTTGGGCAAAGGAGAGCTGAAGAGGTTTGGGAAGAACAGCAAGATGAGGAGGGTACAGGCTGTCAGAAAGAGGCTGCAGAAATTCCTAAGAGAACCCTTGCCACAGATGTTTCGCTTAGACTAAGCCTTCTTATCTGAGAATCTTGTGCCAGAGGGCAGGAGGCAGGTGGGGGGGGGGGATAAGTATCGCTTTTTTAAAATGAGCAAGAGATTGCCGAAGCCTGCCCACCACGCACAAGTAAGAACTGCAGGAGTGTTTAATGCTGAGCTCTGCTTTCCTTGTGTGGTTGGTGACCAAATACACCTAAATAAATACCCCCACCTCTTTCCTCAGCAGGATTAATTGTGCTAAAACGGTGCCTGCACTGGTTTACGTAGCCTGCTCTGACAGCCAGGGCTTCTTTCCATTGAACTTTGCGTGACGATGCTGCATCGAATTCTTTCTTTTCTGGTCGTCCCCCCCCCCCCCCCCGCTTTTGTATCCCAGAAGCAGAAAGCGGGGGGAGCTACAACGGGGAGGAAGGGGAGAGGAGAGCTAGCGAAAAGGCCGATAGACAAGTGATGCTTGGGCTCTGCTCCCCCCACCCGCCCCTTCCCAGAGCCTCAACAACGGAGCTGTGAGGCAGAGAGCAGCCAGTTGTAATTCATGCCGAGTGGTAGGCTTTGTGTGATGAAAGCAACGGAGCGCTGCCTGGGAGATTGCTTTGCTGCACTCCACGAAGCAGATTTGAAACTGTCGCCGACCACTTTAGATGAGACTTGGATTATGGAATGACCTGCTATGTCTGTGTCATATTGTTCTGCGCAGAGTGCATTATACTGTGCTAACTAGGTATTCAGTACCAAATAAGAAAGGTATCCTAGATGTGATCTGTCAGCTGTGTCTCATTTTTTTTTAATCTGTTAAAATTTAAAACTGAAACTGTGATGAGGGAAGGCAGAATGGCCTGGATGTATGACAAGGTGTGGTTACCTAACAGTGAATCAAGAGATTAAAAATGGACATGGCCATCCTTCTCTCTCTCTCTCTCTCTCACACACACACACAAATTGTAAACACAGCTGGATTAGAGAATTTCTTCTGCTTCTTCCCTCTAAATTGCAAAATATGTCAGGTGGGTGAGCAGGTGAGCACACATGTGTTGACTGACACCCATTTCAAGGAAATGCGTGACTCATGATTCTCCTTTCCAATCAGTTTGAATGCACATGGTGTTTCCCAATCTGTTATCTTATACAAGCAACCTTGCCTGTAAATGAGGAAATCAGGTAGATGTACGTAGATGCCTTGGCAAAAGCCCTATCTGGTGTAACTGTTCATTCTGTTCTTCTCCCCACCCCCCACCCCGACCCCAAATCCTCAGGCTTGAAGATGCAGTGGACGCCAGAGCATGCCCAGTGGCCAGAGCAGCACTTTGACATCACTTCCACCACCCGGTCACCTGCCCACAAGGTAGAAGCTTACCGCGGACACCTGCAGCGCACCTATCAGTATGCTTGGGCTAATGATGACATCTCTGCTCTAACCGCCTCGAATCTGCTAAAAAAATATGCAGAAAAGTATTCTGGTATTTTGGAAGGGCCCGCCGAACGGCCCCTCCTGAGTAACTATTCCGAGCCTCCGCCGGGGCTGGTGAATGGCCGCAAGAGTGAGAATGAGCCCTGGCAGCCTTCGCTGAACGCTGAGAGCGTCTATCCCATGAACTGTGTCCCCGATGTGATTACTGCCAGCAAAGCTGGGGTAAGCACTGCCCTCCCTCCAGCAGATGTTTCTGCCAGTATCGGGAGTTCACCTGGGGTGGCCAGTAACCTGGCCGAGCCCAGCTATTCCAGCAGCACTTGCGGGAGTCACACGGTCCCTAGTCTGCATTCCGGGCTCCCGTCTCAGGAATATGCCGCTGGATACAACGGATCGTACCTGCATACCAGTTACAGTGGCCAGCCGGCACCTGCACTTCCCTCGCCTCACCCCTCCCCTTTGCATAGCTCTGGGCTCCTGCAGCCGCCCCCGCCCCCGCCGCCCCCACCGGCCCTGGTGCCAGGCTACAACGGGACTTCCAACCTCTCCGGCTATAGCTACCCATCGGCGAGTTACCCCCCTCAAAGCGCCGTGGGGCCTGGCTACAGCCCCGGGGGAGCCCCTCCCCCATCCGCATATCTGCCTTCAGGAATCCCTGCTCCAACGCCGCTGCCCCCCACCACAGTTCCTGGTTACACTTACCAGGGCCACGGCCTCACCCCCATTGCACCCTCCGCCCTGGCAAACAGTTCAGCCAGCTCTCTGAAAAGGAAAGCTTTCTATATGGCAGGACAAGGAGAAATGGACTCCAGTTACGGAAACTACAGCTACGGCCAACAGAGATCTACACAAAGTCCCATGTACCGGATGCCCGACAACAGCATTTCGAATGCCAGTCGAGGGAACGGCTTTGACAGAAGTGCTGAACCATCGTCCATGGCGTTTAAGCCAACGAAACAGATAATGGCTTCTGAGCAGCAAAGGAAATTCAGCCAGTCCAGCAGGGCTCTGACTCCCCCCTCCTACAGTTCCAGTAAGAATTCCCTTGGGTCACGAGCGAGTGAACCATTTGGGAAGTACGGCTCTCCAGTAATGAATGACCACGGTGACGATCACAGGCAGCTCCTTCCTCACCCCATGCAAGGCCCGGGACTTCGTGCTACCTCATCCAACCACTCTATGGACGAGCAACTGAAGAATACTGACGCACACCTCATTGACCTTGTAACCAATGAGATTATCAGCCAAGGCCCTCCTGTGGACTGGAATGACATTGCTGGCCTAGATTTGGTAAAGGCTGTCATTAAAGAGGAAGTTTTGTGGCCAGTATTGAGGTCAGATGCATTCAGTGGGCTGACTGCTCTACCTCGGAGCATCCTTTTGTTTGGACCGCGAGGAACGGGCAAAACATTAATGGGCAGATGTATAGCGAGCCAGCTGGGAGCCACTTTTTTCAAAATTGCTGGCTCCAGTCTTGTCACAAAGTGGTTAGGGGAAGGCGAAAAAATTGTCCATGCCTCCTTCCTTGTGGCAAGGTGTCGCCAGCCCTCAGTGATTTTTGTGAGTGACATTGATGTGCTCCTTTCATCCCAAGTGAACGAAGAACACAGTCCAGTCTGTCGGATGAGAACCGAGTTCCTTATGCAGCTGGACACTGTGCTAACTTCTGCTGAGGACCAAATAGTAGTAATTTGTGCCACCAGTAAACCGGAAGAAATAGATGAATCTCTTCGAAGGTACTTCATGAAACGACTTTTAATCCCACTTCCTGACAGCACAGCAAGGCACCAGATAATAGTACAACTGCTCTCACAGCACAATTACTGTCTCAATGACAAGGAGGTTGCACTGCTTGTCCAGCGTACGGAAGGCTTTTCTGGACTAGATGTTGCTCATTTGTGTCAGGAAGCGGTAGTGGGCCCGCTCCATGCCATGCCAGCCACAGACCTTTCAGCCATTATGCCCAGCCAGTTGCGGCCCGTTACATATCAAGACTTTGAAAATGCTTTCTGCAAGATACAGCCTAGCATATCTCAAAAGGAGCTTGATACATATGTTGAATGGAACAAAATGTTTGGTTGCAGTCAGTGACAAGTCTTTTTTTAAAAACAAATAAACGAGCAAAACAAAAATGTAATGAATGTTGGTGCGCGCACACACACACATCCACACAATCCTGTTGCATAGGGCATGGAACCCCTTTTCAGTAGTGTTAAAATTGTGAAAGGGCACTGTGGGGGGAAACAATGATTACCTTGCATCTCAAGAGCCAGGTGTAGGCTTGAAGGAATAGTGCATCAGACGAGAGCTGTTGATCTGAAAAGCCAGAGATGACAGAAAGCATCTACCGATGCTCCGTTCTGTTCAGGCTAGACAACGCTCTTTCACCATGGAGCAAGGAGCCAAGTGGGTTGATTTTTAGAAGGACATGAACCCTGTGTGTTGATTCCATTCTGCTGTTCTTGAGATTTAGTTGCTGTCAAGTGCCTGAAGTGGTGCTTTATTTTTTCTTTATTATTATTTTTTGTTTGCCTCACAATTACATTGGTGGCATGTGCTAATATAAAGAGCTTTAACTTCAAAATGTTATGGGACTAAAGAAATGAACGGTTGTGTTGCGACAGAGAACCCGTGTGTGTTTGTTTTGTTTCCTTAATTTGTTTTGTGTGGGGAGGGGGTTGGCTGGTCTAAGAGCAACAGTATTCCTCAATCCTGTCTGTTCTGCAGTATTAAACGGAGAACAGGTAAAACAGGGTAATGGTAATCTGGACCTTAATTTCTGCAGTTCATTTCTTTTAATGTTCTGTCTGCAAAAAAAAGAAAAAAAGAAAAAAAACTCAGGAAAGTGATTGTGATTTGTACAGTACCTCAAAGGAATGTGTTGGAAGCACTGCGTACTGCTGAGAGTTAATAGGCTAGGCTTCAATGTTACTTTATATTAAATATGTATGTTTACCTCAACCATTGGAAAAATGACAAGGAGAAATACTTTGAATGTATCCAGGAGCAAGCTGAAGTATGCTATAAATTAATCTTTAAACTGTTTAAAATAGAAACAGAGGGGTATCCCAGTGTTTAAGAAATGGTTCTTTCAAAAAATAAAGTATTGGGGATCGAATCGGAGCAAGAGAATTTTCATGGCAGTAGTGTGTGAACGTCCTTAGTCCTTGACAATTTTGTGACAAGTTGGTAGACTGCGCGCAGACAATAAGAGAGCCACCCTGTCGAATTATGTAATCATCTGGGACAGTCAAAGGCAGCGTCTAGTTAGGACTCGGAGAGGCAAATTACCTTAGACTACAACTGCTTTTATAACTTGGCTAGAGTTGCAGTGTCTTGATTATTTCATTGAGTCGGTAGAACAGAATCATTCTAGGTCACTGAGGGAGCTTATGGGTTGCAGAGCTGTTTACAGCAATGCAGTAGGTAGTGGCCAAACGAAAAGCCAAGACAAAATTGAGCTCTCAAATTGCATTTCTCTTCCTCACCTCTCATTTTTGACACACAAGTGAAAGGTTGTTTGTCTTATGTGTGCATTTGCCTCTTCTGGTTTGTTTTTGTTTTAATGTCATCATTTATTGTTCATTGGAAATTTTCCAGCCTGGAATGTGCCCACCATTTTATTTCTACCTCAGTTTTTGTTGCGTTTTTCTCAGAGAGCAAAGTAAAGAATAGGGCAAATCAGGTTACATCAAGGATGCCCATCTGTTTAATGACTTTAACGGTGCAATCCTATGCATGTTTATTCAGACGGAAGTCCCAATGTGTTCACACAGGCTGGCTCTGAACGAAATGTGTTTCTGATTGCTGTCCGGGAGAACTTAGAGGGGGGAAGCAGGAACGCTGTCCTCCTTGAGTGAAGCCCGCTGCCTCTTTCCTCCTTGCCCAGCCAGGGCAAACCTTGCTGAGTCTTCCTTCTGGGAAGGCAGACTGGCTAGCATGTGTGGCATTTTATGTCTGTTTGTGCCCCTGCTCCACACGGTCTGTCTTTCTTTGTATTCTTTAATGCTTTTATGAGCAATTCTTTTCATGACAGCTGACTGATGCTGGTAATGTCTCTGAACACTGTAGCGAGCCAAGCCTTCGCAGCCACATAAGCAGAACATTCTCTTTTTTATGTTTTTCTTTATTTACTTGCAGGAGACAGCAGCAGAACACTTGCAAAGCACTGGCATTTAATGTTACTTTTAAGCAATTTAGCTTCAGATATATGAAATAAATGCACTGAAAAGCCAGAAAGAGAAAAAGACCAATCAGTTACGCCACCAATCAGTTACCTGGTTGTTTTGTGTCTTTAAAGCTACTATAGTTATCACATTTGTCATTTACTCAGTTAAAACATTAGGGATAAGAATGTTAACAGTGAGTAGGTGAGTGGCATTTCACTGATCCCTAACCTTTTAAATTTCTTTATTTTTTTTTAAATCTCCAATGCTAACACCCAAGTAAATAAACCAAAATCTACATTGTAGCAATTCCTTTTTCTTCAGTATAAACTGAATTCTTTGAAAAGGCAGAAGGACCAATAAAATAAAAGAACAGTGCCTTGCACTGAGAATATAATCAAATAAGTCTTAATAGAATCATTACTTTTCCAATTAGTGAATACTTTCCATTTTCCTTTCTGTTCCTTTACACCTTCACCATTCTGTCTTCTTGTTTGGAGAGCCCAAATATACCTTTTGCCATAGGTTCATATTGATCTTGCAGAAGGGTTTAGTGACCAATCCGCTATCATTTAATTTTTACATTTTCAGTTTGTATTATGCTAAATGATTCAAGCATGTTTTGAAAAATGAACTTTCTGCATACATCACAAATTCTATAGATCTTTCCAAATCAACGTTGTTAGGCATTTTCACATTAACATAAAAGTGTATGCAATGTATTGCTTTGTGCAATATAGTATTTTCTAGCCCCATAACTCATCTTTTAATTAAAACCATCACGAGCTTACTTGGGCTCCTAATTTACTGCATGTATGCTGGAAAAGGAAATTGTTCCAATCAACTTTGAAAATAAAAAGCAAGACTATGAGGCTGAAAGATTGGAAAGTGTTGAGATCTTAAAAAAGAAAAGAAAAAAAACATGTTGCTGATCTATTGCTGAAAGTGCCAGGAGATTATGCTTTCATGTCAAGTGGTAGCTAGCTGTGTCTAGTGGGGGCATAACTCTTTAACTAACATGGGGAGAATAGTTTTGTTTACCCTGTCATCCTTCTACATACAGGAAGCAAGCTATAACATTCCATCCACAATCTGCTGATGGAAGTTCCCTGGTTAATGGAATCGCTCAGCCTTTGTCCAGCCTGCTCAGACCCTATTTGCTCATTTTTAACAAACTATCCCTATGCTAGGTGGGAAGCCACTGCTTTCACACTTCCTATGTGAATAAGGCCATTCTTTTCTTATGCTGCTACCTTTTCTTCCATGCAGAATTGCTTCCCTGTATGTTTCATTACAAAAGAAACTGATCTTAGGACTTAAGCTTCCAAGATGCTTGGGTGTGCCATGAATGAGAAGACGGTCTTTTGTGAGGGAGTTGATATGGCCAACCTATAATAATGTTCTTGGGATTTAAAAGCGTTCTAAGGATTTTAAATGGCTCCTGTAAGGTACCTGCTATCTTTTTCAATTGGTCAGAACTGTGGGTTCCAGAGCTACAAAATGCATAAATAAAACTATCAGCCAGGACTGCCGGATTCTGCGTTAAGCAGTTCTCCTGTGCCTTTAAAACAAGGGAGAATAGTAATAGGTACAGCTTCTCCTGCACTTCTGTCTCTGTGATGGTTGAAGATCCACCTGCCAAACTCTCCCTTCTGAGAAACTGGTAATTAATCAAAGGCATCATGACTAATTGAAAGAAATCTTTGAGGTAGAGAACTAATATATGGCTACAGTGGCCTTCGAAATAGGCTGTTGCAACCATTGCGTGGTTGATGAGAATCTTGCCTTAGATGGCTCCTTTGATTTTTCAACCACAGTGACAATTCCAGCAAAAGGAAAAGCAGGGAACTATTTTCTGCCAGCCAAATTATGAATGCCAAATCAAAATGCAGCATAATGACCTTTATATGAGTTTATGCAGAAATACTCTATACTTCTGGCATGCTTCTCTCCCCAAAATATTTAGACCATTAGGGATAGTACTGAAAAGTTTGCTGACTGAGCTGATCAATGGAATGTGAAGGCAGTTTGAGGCTATTTACTTTTGCACAAAATATTTCTCTATTAGTCAATTTGTATTCTATTCAAATGCAGATAGATGGGCGAAATGGTTTTTCTTGTGCATTTCAAACCCATCAAGGAGAAAATAAAACCTCCCAGTAAAACACATAGGCAAAGCACCATCTGGGAAAGCTAGCTCATCTGTCCAGGGGCTATGCTCTGTAAAATAGTACAAGGTCATTTTATATGGGCTGGTGTAATACTTTGCTAGGCAATTTTCAAAAGGAGATAATCTAGTGTAAAAACCCCAATTAATTCCAACAGATGTTGGTAGATGGTAATGTGTTTACATGTCAAAAGCTGCAAACAAAGGTTTCTAATGCCTGAAAATGTGTATAACTTTGAGGAGAAAAACAGTCACAAGTATTGATGCAGAACTCATTCTATGAAAATGAGAGATTTTCCTTTAAACAGTGAGATCTCAAAAATAACACATTGCACTTGACTTTAAATTTTGCTACTATCAACTTTATTATAATGAAAGCCCACCAGTTTCAGTGAAAGTATTCAAGCCGTACTGATTTGAGAGATCACTGTCTTACTCTACATTCTAAGACAGCAGTGACCGACCCGTGGTCCTCCAGGTGTTCAGGCCTACAATTCCCATTGCTCTGCAACACTGGCTAGCTAGGGTTGATGATGGGAACTGTATGCCGAAAATCTGGAAGGCCACAAATTGCCCAGTCCTACTCAAAGCTGTATGTTGTATGTATCAGCTTTCTTCATTAGACAGACCTCTGTCCCTGAGAGTTCCCTTCACACAAGTTCCATTGACATAAACGGGAGTGCACCTATTTGTGGGTTTCTAGAGGGAAGCTGCTTGGCCACCGTGTGAACAGGATGCTGGACTAGATGGATGAGCCA